CCCAAAATGGAACCCCCACCCCCAAACCAGCCAGTCACAACACCGTGAATTCCTCAGGGAGGTGCCAGCCTCATCCTCTTGTATTTCCCACACTCTTTCGGTGAACTAAGAAAACGTTTATCTCCCTGAGCCTGGCATTCATAATTCCATTCCATCACATCTGAGGTTGTATTTACCTACTTTTGAGAACTGCTAAGGACCAGATTATTTTTATTATGTCCTGATGTGTAAAACCATAGAACTCAAAGAGGGTGTACTTTCTTTTTCACACGACTGTACATAAGGCTACATTAACACTGTCCCCAAACGTAAACCACTAAATGATTTGTTAAATACCGTAATTCTGAATGGTAAAAAAAATCCTACTAATCCCAGTCCTCTTAACCTTTTTTTTAAAAACAACAAAACTGCATTTAATTGTTCAGGTGACCATATGAGCACAAGCCACTCGCTCATCCAGCTGAAGATTTGGGCAGAAGCAAACTTACCTGTCTGGAGTTATTGTTCACAAAGAAGTCCTACAGCCAGAGCAGAAGCATGGGAATAGGCAGGAAAAAAGTGTGCAGTTCAGTGGTCACAGAAAAAAAAAAAAAAAAAAAAAGGAACAACCACAAAACAAAAACAGAGAGAAGAGTCAAAGTACAGTTGGGAAGGATATATATGTGGTGCAGTTTGCAAACAAGAAACTAAACAATCTCCACAGCATTTCGGATATACCAGCTGTAGCCATTATATTGCAATTCAGGAAGCATGGTACAATAGAGCTTAGTGAAGGAATACAACAGAAGAGAGCCATGTAAACATCAGAAGCAGGCAACAGGCATGGGTTCAGATGCAGTTTCATTCATCAGTCATGCACATTTCAACGGAAGGGGGTGGGGGAATGGAAACGACACTAATGAGGGATTCAGCAAGTATTGTCTCCCCCAGGTGAGTTTACACAATGCTGTTTTGAAGCCAACGTTTCAGAATCTTAAGGCGTTCTGGCCAGATGCTGGTTCTTATGTTAAACGAGGTTGCTGCCCTTTCCACAAAAGTCAGCCACACCATCTCCTCCCACATCTGAACGCTTGTATACAAGTGTCTCAGTAACAGTGTTAATAGTGTGGAGAACAACCGCAGAGGAACAGCAACAATGCAACTCTGATACAAAAGAACTGCCCACTATTTCAGCGCAATCTTGGATGAAAAAAATAAAAATAAAAACAACGATCCTCGCCTGGAATTATCAGTACCAGGAATTTCTATAATAGTGACCATGATAGGTCTCATATGCATTACAACAGTACCTGAATGAGACCAGAGCCACAAATTAACCAGGGCCTTTGACTATAGGATACTATAAAGCAGATAAAGACGGAAAAGTTGCAGGGTTAGCACAGAATATTATTAACAAGCCTATCTTTTCAAACATGGTTGGTAAAGACCGAATTGAATTCATGCACAATAGTATTATTAATGACGGCTTTGCCAATTATCTCTCATACATGACACATTTCTAAAAGCAAAATGCTAAACGCCCAACAACTGACAAGGGAACATAATGGCTGAGAGCATTTTGAATAGCTAAATATCAACATTTTAATGCTGTGTGAAAACAATGCTTAATGCTCCTCTTCTCACCAGGCATCTGAAGAGACCGAGAGCAGATATGTTCTCAGGTAGAACGAAGGCTGCCAAGCAGTCACTGCCTTAGTTTCTGTATTACTCACACAATACTTTGATTCTAATTCTGGTAGACTGAACAGTGTGACTCAACCTATCTAGGCTGCACTGTTGCCCTACCTGTATAATCTATCACGGTAGTTAGGAACATGGTAACGGTGGGTGCATACGTGCTTGGCAGGTCCTGAACACAATGTATAACCGAATCTAGAGATCTCGCCATTTGTTTCAGCCATCCTCTACATCAGTGTTTCTCAACCTTGGCGACTTTGTGTGGACTTCAACTCCCAGAATTCTGGGAGTTGAAGTCCACGTATCTTAAAGTCGCCAAGGTTGAGAAACACTGTTCTACATGTAAGAATTTTTGTTGCTTTTGGTGAACGGATGGTGATAGCTGGGATAGAATTGGATATGTATTTGTGTCCTTGTGGGTGTGAGAAGGGTAGGGTTTGTGTGTGTAATTTATGCATGTGTTTATATATTTGTATAGGGATATATAGGAAGACAGGTGAATGAGGGAGATGTGTCCATGTCTCTGTGTGCATATATAATTGTATCTACATGGGTAATGGGGAAGTTTATTTATTTATTTATTAAACAAACTTATATGGCTGCCCAACTCACACATGGTGACTCCAGGTGGCTTACAGAATTAAAATCCACAATACAAAAAGCCCATCAGCCCTCCCACCCCTGCGGCGGCTACAAACACAATCAAATCAACCACTCAATCGGCTCTGTATCAATTTGGGGCCCCCAGGCCCGCTGGCAGAACCATGTCCTCAGGGTCTTCCGGAAAAGTATCAACTATATTATAAAGTATCAAGTATTAAGTTCATGCATGTATGATTTTGTGTGTTGTGTGTGTGTGTGTTTGTGTGTGTGTGTGTGAGGAGAGAGAGAGAGAGAGAGCATATGTTCACATATATGCTGGAAGGTGCTCCCCAAACACCTATCCTGCTTCAAAATGTAACATATCTCAGATTTATCCGGTGACTTCAGGAACCAATCCCAGTGCGCTGGTCCTGTATCCCCAGGACCGAAGGCTTCTGAGTTTGACTGGTACACCTAACACTGGGACTGCCTAATTTGTTCTCTCTGTTCTCAACTGCTACCTTGGGCCCTGATCCTTCTGTCTCTATCACTATTCTGTTCCCACGACCTCATGATTCAGCTTGATTATTTTCTTCATAATCAACTTTTAATCCATTTGGGAGGAGGATCAGCCACTTCCACTGGAGCAAAAAAATCCCCTTGAAACTCTCTATTCTTGTAAAAACAAAAAAACAAAAGGAGTTTTTAGGAGTTCAATGCAATAGGATTACTGATATTATCATTATTTTTTCTATTATGTCTGAATGCTACAGTCAAGATAATATTGACAGTTAATTCCCTTTTTGTTTAGTAAACTGAACATTTGGAGAGAGTGAACACTGCAGATTTGTGGTTACATTCAGGTACAATGTTTTATTACATACTGCCCAGAGAACTTTGGCTATTGGGCAGTCTAAAAAAAAATTAAATAAATACTTAAATTTTCATTACTCTTTTCCTGAAGCAGAGTAACTAAATTCCTAGGGGTCCTATATGAACAATCTTGTGTGGAAATAACTGCTCAGCCTGGCCAAATACTGAGGATAACAAAATGAATTAGTTCACTCTCAACAAAAATTTACCAGCTATTTAGTAGGCACGCCAAAAAGAATGGCCAGCTGTGCTAGCAGGCTGGATTTCCCAACACTTTTGGCACATGCATGCAGGGAACTGCAATTCTAAGAAGAGTTGCAAGGCAATCCTACACCGTGCTTCTGCTTTTCACCCTCCTGACAATTTTAAAACAAGAATTTTATGCGCAGTCATACTTTCTCCTACATATTTTAGTTTTTTGCCAACGCTGTATTAAACACCCAAATGGAACAGTAAAATGTGAATCTAACATAAATGTGCAACATTTACTGGCTAAGTTCATGCAGTGCTAAGGCACAATGTAGCATGTCTGCTTTTGATTTAGCATCTTGTATAAACCCAATTGTGTAGGTTGTAAACCATGGTTTATGGTTTAGTTGCTGTAGCAACCCAGCCAATTAAAGTTAATCAACTAATCATAGTTAAACAAACCACCACTTTGCTCAATGGGAACCCAATCTCTGGATAGTACACCCAGCTTTTGCTTCTATAATATTATGAAATGACCTTGAATTTTGATGTTTATTCCTTAAAGGCAGAAAATGTGAATGCCTCTTCCACACTGCCTGCAAGACAGTGTTCTGTTTTATTTGCCATCTCCAACTGAAGTAGGCCTTTTCTTTACCCCTTTATGAAAAAATTGCTTTTTTTTTATAGATCCAAGCATGATGCAGTGCCATTAATACAGCTTTTTCCCCCTTATAATGGAAGGCTTAACGTAAAACGCCTAAAGCTGTTTTAAAGCTTTAAATGTGCTGATATGAAATTTATTTGCAGAGGAAACAAGATACAGAGTTCCTGACACCAAGGTTATAACTAGAGGTATATAGAACAAGGTTATAAAATACAAAAATGAAGGATGCATATTAATTGTACGTGAAGACCTATATGTATATTGCATGACATAATTGATACACATTTTATTTCTTCCTGAGCAATTGAGACTATGAGGTATACTAGTCTTCTCCAGCGAGGTGACAAACATCTCTAGTTTTATGATTTTATCTAGATTGTTATGCCAAAGCAAACACCAAACATTTTAACTAAAGACAGGATAAAAAAAAGTTTTTCTTCTTATTGAACAGTCAACAATGTATTAATTTGTTACAGGAACTGTTGCTGTATGTGTGTATATTTAAAACATGATTGTGCCTTACAAGAATATCAGTTTAAATTATTGGGGAATTGAAGCTTTCAAATCAACCTAACATGTTAGCTTTCAATCAATAATTGCAATGCTGCCTAAATTCACTGGAGATTTCATAAAAGCACCACTGTACTTTGCATGTGATACACGATGAAGACAGGAATACCCCTATGCATAGCAATGCTGTGTGGAAGTATCAGGTCACTTGTTCATGTATTTCCAGGTTTCTTGAATGCGAGTGAGCCTAGTTCCCCAAATACAGTACTTATTAGTAAGGATGGGCATGCTAGATCTTCCTATTACACATAATTACAGCACAATGAACACAAGGACATACTTAGCATGGGAGACCATGTGCACCTCTTAATTGGCTTCTGTGTGAAGCAGCCCTCATCTCTAATATCTAACCTGCCATTCCCTCATCCCAATTAAGTAGGCTAGAAGCAACCACACAAAATAAAGTGTTTAGAATTCACTACTGCAGCAAAAAAAAAAAAAAAAAAAAAAAAAAA